GTAAAATGCTAACCATAACTTAGGATACCGAGTTCCCCGGTATCGTTGCACGTCCTATTGGAGCGTTTACGAACAAGGCGGACTACCATTACCAGACCCTTCGGTGCAACGTTGATCTCTTGAAGATGATTCAACTGGGAATAACCCTGTTTTCTGCTGAAGGAGAGGTGCCCCCACCCAATGCTACGGATGCGAATGGACAGCCCCTCGGGAATAGTCTGGTGCCCGCCCCCTGCACCTGGCAATTTAACTTCCGGTTTTCGTTGGAGGATGACATGTACGCACAAGAGTCTACGGCCATGCTCGCCAAAGCTGGAATCGATTTCTCCATGCACGACAAGAACGGTATTGACCCTTTCGAGTTCGGTGCGCTTTTGATCAGCTCAGGCCTCGTCCTGCTGGATGACGTCCACTGGGTGTCATTCCACTCCGGCTATGATTTTGGCTACTTGATGAAAATCATGCTCTGCAAGCCTTTACCGGAGAATGAAGAGGAGTTCCACAAACTTCTCAATATTTTCTTCCCGTCGCTGTACGATATTAAATACTTGATGAAGCATGCCGGACGCAATCAGGCCGTCAATGATACTCCTCTGACACCAGCCGCCGCTCAAATTCTCACCAACCTTGGTCAAAAGTCTGGACTTCAAGATATTGCCGACGAGTTGGGTGTCAAACGCGTGGGCATTGCTCATCAGGCGGGGTCTGATTCGCTCGTCACCGGTGAAATTTATTGGAAGATGCGACAGTTGGTTTTCAACGGCAGCATTGACGAGTCCAAGTACTCTGGACAAATCTGGGGGTTGAACGGTCAGATGCCAGCATTGTTGTATCAGATGCCTCATCAGACACCCAATCTCAACGGGGCTACAATCTACTCTGCTACTGGCACGCCGAGCACACCCAATGCCGGTACACCTCAGCACCAGGGCCTCGGCGCACTGACGCCTGGCGCTGTCGGAGGAGTCTTGGGACAATTTCAAGTTGGGAAAGCATGAAAGTCATATAGCTAGGATCTCATTTGTCAATGGGTGTTAGATTCGGTTGGGGAGTTTATGATACGCTTTGCATCATTGTTCCTCTGTATCTTTCCCTTTGTTTGGTCTCTTTGTATAGGCTTCGTGTCTGAAATTTTACAGGGAACTGTCGAGTATTGCCCCCTCGGGGATGCTCCAGATCCCTGGACACTATTTGTCTTATTTACCCTTTACCTCGTTCACAGCGATTGCTTTTCTCTCTTTCTCATGGCGGGGGTTGCGGGATGGATACGATGTGACGGATGTACATAGCATGTCGCACCAGGGCGGTGCCTCTATCTCTTCTTATCTTTTTGAGTCGCATTTTCTCGTTGTTTAGGTCTCACATTTCACGGTTCGTCGCCTGAGATGCTTCACATTGTCTGGGAGACGGGTGTTTGCGAAGGGTGTACGGTGTTTGTTATATGGCTGGAATATGATTCTCGTTTCACAGGCGTGCCTTTCCTTTCCAATTGCATACTTGGGTCCCATTCTTCTATAGCCGTAGATAGCATAGAACTGGTTGGGCGATATTGTAAGGATGTACCTAGTTTCTGTGACACTACCAATTGACAGATTGACATATCATATCCGATGGGAACACGTCGCCAGGTGGCGGATCGGCAACCGCCAGAGGAATTGAACTCCCCTTACGTGGACAGTGTGACCAAGTGGAACACCGCCTGTCATGATAGAAGTAAACATATCCGATTGCTTCCCCGCTTTTTAACACAAGTCGTGATCCGAGTTCCAATGCATGCTTTCGCCGCTTTAGATCAAGGCCGCTATACCGGAATCAGAAGGGCGATCCGGGTCTTATCGCGTCGTGACTTATCGGCTTCCCCAGGTTATCAAGTGAGGCAGCTGAGTGCGTTGCAGAACCCAACCCTCCTGCAGCTTAAAAAGCAAGGGCCCCTTCTTCGTCATGGACAGTTTTTTCGTGTCTTGTGTCACTTTCTTGCATTCTCTCTCGCTGTGGGTTACACCGACATTTATAACCGGGGACTTTTCCAAACTATATAGCCCGGTAGACGACCTCCAACGTCAACAACCCCAATAACCCTTATACAGATTCTCGCAACTATTCGACGACTTACATAAACCATGGTCCTCGACCGGCTTCAGCAGCTGACCTTGCAGGTCAGCGCTTCGTCTCCTCCTCCTCACCCGTTTGACCCCCTATCAACGGTTGAAATCGACACCGCCGTCGCTCTTGTCCGCGAAGCACATGGCAAGGTCAACTTCAATGCCGTCACTCTCTGGGAGCCGCGCAAGGCGGACATGATGGCCTGGCTGGCCAACCCTGAGAAGGCTCCCCGCCCTATGAGAGCTGCTGACGTTGTTGCAATTGCGCCTGGCGGCAAGATCTACGACGGAGTTGTCGACTTGGACCAGAAGAAAATCATCGTGTGGAAGCATACCCCCGGTGTGCAGCCTTTGATTACTATGGAGGACTTGCAGGAAGTCGAACATATTATTCGCCGGGACCCGAAGGTGATTGAACAGTGCGCCATTATTGGAATCCCGAAGGAGGACATGCACAAGGTGTACTGTGACCGTAAGTCTTCTCGAATCATACGGAGCAGAAGGGGAGATAAATTCTGTTTCTTGAATCAACTGACATATGTTTAGCCTGGACAATCGGCTACGATGAGCGCTTTGGTACCGGTGTTCGCCTCCAGCAAGCGCTCATGTACTACAGACCCCACATGGATGATTCCCAGTACACATATCCTTTGGACTTCTGTCCCATCTTCAATGCCGAGACTAAGCAGGTTATTCATATTGATGTACCGCCGGTGCGCCGGCCACTCAGCAAAGCGCCTCCCAACAACTACCACCCTGCAGCGATCGAAAAGGAAGGCGGATTCAGGACAGATCTGAAGCCCATTCACATCACCCAGCCCGAAGGTGTGTCTTTCGAAGTCAAGGGACGGCACATCGAGTGGCAAAACTGGAACATCCACGTCGGCTTCAACTACCGTGAAGGCATTGTGCTTAACAACATCACTTTCAACGACAAAGGCAATGTTCGTCCTATTTTCTACCGTCTGTCGCTCGGAGAGATGGTGGTGCCGTACGGGAACCCAGAGCACCCGCATCAGCGCAAGCACGCCTTCGACCTCGGCGAATACGGTGGTGGATACATGACGAACAGTCTGTCCCTTGGATGTGACTGCAAGGGAGCGATTCACTATATGGATGCGGCATTCGTCAACCGCGCTGGTGCTAGCACCATCGTGAAGAATGCTATCTGCATTCACGAGGAAGATGCAGGTATTCTCTTCAAGCATACCGACTTCCGGGACGAATCGGTTATCGTCACCCGTGGTCGCAAATTGATCATTTCCCACATTTTCACCGCTGCGAACTACGAATACTGCGTGTACTGGATCTTCCACCAGGATGGTACCGTGCAGCTGGACATCAAATTGACTGGTATTCTCAATACCTATGCAATGAACCCCGGAGAGGACACCAAGGGCTGGGGTACTGAGGTCTATCCTGGTGTGAACGCGCACAACCACCAGCATTTGTTCTGCTTGCGTGTCGACGCCAACATCGATGGACCAAACAACACGGTCTTCCAAGTCGACGCTGTCCGTGGCGAGGGTGAAGTTGGAAGCGCCGAGAATAAGTACGGCAACGCTTTCTACGCCAAGAAGACCAAGTTCACCACTCCCCTTGAGGCGATGTCCGATTACGATGGCTTTACGGGACGGACTTGGGAGATTGCCAACACGAACAAATTGAACGCTTACAGCAAGAAGCCCGTGTGTTATAAGCTGGTCAGCCGCGAGGTTCCCCCACTGCTCCCTAAGCCGGGCTCATTGGTGTGGAAGCGAGCTGGTTTCGCGAGACATGCCGTCCATGTTACCAAATGTAAGACTGCCCTCCCTGCCCGCTACATGATTACCGGTGAATACTAACTGTTATAAAGATTCTGATGATCAGATCCACCCTGCTGGTCGCCACGTTCCTCAGACTTCTGGAGAGCCGTCGCAGGGCTTGCCTGCTTGGATCGAGGAAGCCGGTGCAAATAGCTCCATTGACAACACGGATGTTGTTCTGTGGCACACCTTCGGACTCACCCACTTCCCGGCTCCTGAGGATTACCCTATCATGCCAGCAGAGCCTATGACATTGCTTCTCCGCCCTCGTCACTTCTTTACTCGCAATCCCGTACTGGATGTGCCTCCTAGCTATGCTAGAACACCTTCTCAGATTGCAGCTGGTGCTTCTTCCTGCTCGTGCAAGAAGAACGATGGCTCTAGTGTTTTGGTTTAAGGTTCTACTCTCCTTCATTTCAATTTGGCATCACGGCATTGTTCTGCGGCGGTTCTTCCTTTTGGATACCTACGATTGGCGTTTTCTCTTTTATATAGCTTTGATATCTTGTAAAGCTCCAATGAACGGTTTCTTATTCTGACTACTACTAGAACTTGCTAAGGACATGAGTACTATTTATCGTATACATTATCTCGAACCTGGAGCTTGAAGTCTCGATGCGTTTTATTGAACCTTCGGACGAATAGGTCTGTCACCCAGTGGCCCAGTAATAGTCCGTCATCTCTAAACTCCTGGTAGCAATATGGAAATTGTTGACTTGAACAGCTGTTAGTGCATTCCGTCAGGTATGACAGGTGGTGTAACATCAACCCTTCGATGACTCTAAAATTGCAGTGTGCGGCTCTATATTCCAGAGGATTTACGGCCAGGGTGATTAATGCAGGCGCTTTGCGGGCTGCTTAATCCTCGCTTCACTCCTCAATTATCGAAGCGTCACTTGAGGATCAAGCGAAGGGAAAAAAACACTTATCATTGGGATCGTTAGCAAACTGCTTCGATTAGTGCACTACGAAAACAATACGTGTCCATGGTATGTGTGATATAGGATAGAATAGGTTCAAACAAACTACCCTACCCTAAATAATTATAATTTTCTCGACAAAACGATGAAAAGAAACGAAAGTAAAACCAAAATCACTGAATATCCACCTTGACAAATTCCTTTTCAACCTTCTCATCCTCACCCTCATGTTCTTCTTCATCCTCCCCTTCAGTATGAGACCCAGTAGGAGTCGACAACTCCCTGTCAGCATTCACCATCTCCACCTCCACCTCACTCCCATTTAGAACCTCCTCCCCCTCAACCCTAGGCAACACAACTTTCAAAACACCATCTTCCAGTCGCGCCTGAACCCCATCAACCACCACTTCATGAGAGACCGGAATCTCCCTCTCAAACACCCCCAAATGACGTCCTCTCTCCCCAACCAACAAAGCCCGATGCATTTCCTCGTCCACACCAGGTCGGTGCACAACACCAGCGATACGAAGCATCGAGCGCGAGGCGTCGTATCCAACACTCACATCTGACTTTTGAGCTCCTGGGAGCGACGCATGGACAACAGTCTGGGTAGCGGTAACGAAGACGTCCACTGGAGGCGTGAAACTGGCTGTTTCTGGTGAGTAGTGACGATGTGCACGCATGAGAGGGTGCATGTGGTGCAAGCTGTTAACATGATGGAATCCTTTTCCCTTTCCGTGTCTGTTTACTGGGCCTCGTCCATGTCCTAGCCCTCCTCGGTGGAACTTTCCCCGGGAGTGGGCGTGGGGACCTGGCCCGCCTCGTTTGTGGTGGAAGCCAGGGTGGCTGGGGCCTGATCTGTCATGTTTAGTCCATGGGTTGAAAGCATGTTCAGACTCGTGGTCCGGGTCATAATTATGTCCATGTCCATGTCCATGGCGATGTGGGTGAAATTTCCCACGGCCATGATGGCCACGGAGCCCGAATGCATACGGGTGATGATGAGGATGAGGATGACGACCTCCACGACCACCGAACCCGAATCTGAACTTTCCAGGAAATTCATCATTCCTCATAGCGTGTCCTCCCTTATGCATCTTGTCTTTTCCAAAATGCTTCCCATGTCTTATTTCAAAGACGTCCTCATACCGAGGGGGATGGTGGTGAGCAAAGAAAGGATGGTCCTCTAGCACAGACATATCCACCTCCCAGGCATGGGGAGGCTGGTGGAAATGGTATGAATATCTCATGTTTGGCTTTCTGTGTCGTGAGATTGTATGTTTTGGTGTTGATCTTGTTAGATCTGTTTGTGTTTGGCTGAAGATCTCATGGATTTACGGCGGTATTTATACTTGCACATACGAGTATGAGTCAACGTTGCGTACGTATATCTTATCGATTCGCCACCTAGGCAGACAGCAATTGTACAAATCACAGATGGCGAGGGAGTCATAGTCTCATAGATTGATGGTAGCTGGCGCTGAGCTTGACGCCGCATACGTACAGCTCATTACTCAAAACGGAAATCAAGTCCGGCTGGGGGGCGAAAACTCGGACTTTGCGATTCGGACTTGTCCTATTTCGGAACCTCGCTCGGAGATAAGGTGTTATCTGGGAACACTTGGTTATGTATGGTTTTCGAAGAGTAGTATTCTTCGCTAGTTTGGATTTTTATTTATGAAAGCGAATAGATGGCATAAGTGTGACTACCTGAGAGGCGACGGCCAGTGTCAGTCTAGGGCGAACTCGGATGCAAACTCGAGGCCACTTGGAGGATTACTTCCACGGCAACGCAACTGTGAGCTATATACTATGATCACACATGGCTTATGCTTAATTCTGAGTGTGCCATTGTTGGTTCAAGCCATATCATGCCAATTTCTATAGTCAGCTGTGGCTGTGGCGAGGGCGACAGCACCACGGCTGAATATTGCATACTGACGTGAAGTTGATACAAATGTATACCGCAGTAGGTGTGCAGGGAATTCACATTCATTATATACTATCATTATATTATACTTATCATATTCAATACTATTCATGCAGCTCGCTGCGCTCCACCCCCATCAACTCACTAATCTCATTGGTCTGCCTTTCATCTCGCGTCCTGTAGTTCTCCGATGACAGCTCTGAGATAATCGTGTCTGTGTGAGATCCACGCATATTCTTCGACGCATTACTTCCATCCACAAAGCCGCCAGGTAGAGTAGCAGTATCAGAATGCCATACCGACTCGGTAGCTTCCGGTGAGGTCCTCGTAATCTTTTCCGTCGAAAATATCTAAATGATCCTACACCAAGGGCCATCAGGAGAAAGGCCAATGGAATCCCTAAGCCTATACCGATTTTTTCGGCCGAGGAAAGCCCGCCATTGCTCGATTCAGGAGATGGGGTCCCAGCAGGCACGTCCGTGGCTGTAACTACACCTGTCCCCTCGGTCGAGGCTGTCGCCGTGGTTGAAATGCCAGTTGAAGGTGTGGCCGGGGTACTGGCAAAGTGGTAGGAGGTCGGCGACGGATCATCGTGGTACCTCTTTGCAACCCCAAAGATAATGCTTGTTACATTGGCTTGGCCATCAGGCTCACCCTGAGAACTCAAAGACTCCAGCTCGAAGTTGCAGCCGGACTCCCTATAGACATCTCGATTCGCGGTCCAGACATAGCTGTGGTTATTCACAACGTTCACTGAACCCGTTAGCCATCTGCAATACACAGTTCGGTTCAGGATAAGGCCACTCACAGGCAAGAATCCACCGTTGTATACCGCAGGCTTCGTATAAGGATATCCGCGGCGTGACAACATCCCAGGTTACGTTGATCTGATCCCCAACGATAAACCGATGTTGTGCTTCTGTTGGAAAAGTGAAGCCTCCAGCGAGGACACCCTCTATCCAGAGAAGTAATGCGATGGCGAGACTGTTGACAGCACCACATAAAAACCGGTCAATCATTCTGGCACTCTACAAGCGACGAAGAAATCACGCCCGGAAGAATGGCTAAGGTGCAAGGTGTTGGGTGAAGCAGCTATTCTTAATCATGCGGCATAAGAGCAGGCCCCACCCGGCGGGATGAGAATATCCCTGCATCAAATTGCCAATCGTACAGCGACGAACCCCAGTCCGGACAGTTCCGCTAAAGCAAGTTGACTGCGCCGCAATATCAAGACCAGCAACGGGCTCAACGCGCTGGTCATGCGCACCGGACAGGGATGTGTCCAGGATCGAATCCAACTGGACCACATCGCCGTGTACGACGCGAGGACATGCTGCTATTCATTCCGTCTCTGGGCACTTTCCTTCGGCTATGTTAGTGCTTCAACCGGTGCTGTGACATGGTTTCCCTGGTTAGGTTTCATGGAATAGATAAATATAGGTAATAAGCACTGGATACTACAAATAACTACAAATCATCTTCCAGTTAGGGCTACTGGTCTTGGGCCACCAAGCACTGACTTGTTGAAACCACTTATTTAATCCCGACCACTCATTCATTCTGTTACGTCCAGATACTTATTTGCGCTCTTCTGACCTTCACTATCTCAGCAAACAGACTTCCATGGCGTTCAATGATTTCGCAGAGTGGTATCTTCGCAGTCCAGCGGGAAATACGTTCTATGCCTGATTATCTTCATCTCTATTTGGCAATTGAGGTGTTAAATGACTTCCTCTTGGTCATGGTGAATTGTATCTTGATTCTTTTGAGCTGAGCTTTGACGCTGGCGCTGGTGGAGGTACATTATCGTATATGAATATTCATAAGTTACCACCTGTACAAATAAATACATCTCGTACAGAGCGGGACATCGTAGATTCGAAGTTATGGGCTGTTCAATTATGCTATGGCAACATCAGCGTACCTGGAGATAAGCGAGTATGCCTCCTTTACATACACCATTGAGAATATCGCTGTAGAAAAGCATCCAAGCACCAGTTTCGACATGCTGCTATCATTGTTCCCGAGCGAAAGCAATGCTCCCCTAACTATCAATCAATCCAAAAGACGAAGTAATCAGATTCACATCAATACAACCAGTCAGCATTAGTCCCGAGTCACAACCTATGATTGACCCTCCATATTCTCATTGCACAATCGATCCGCCAGCTGATCCTTCTCCCTCAAACTCCAAACATATTCTACCTCTCCCACCTCTTTCAATCTCTTATCAAGATCAAAAGCCTCTTCCAGCAGATCCCGATTAACAACGTCGCCACCTGCAGCATTAGTCCACCCGTTCTCTGCCCACTTGTGAATCCATTTTGTCATGCACCCAAACGCATATGTGGAATCCGAGCATATCGTGACCTTCAACTGCGGACGCGTGGCTAGCTCGTCAGACCTTTCCAGGGCTAGCTTCAGGGCCAGGATGATGGCTGTGATCTCGGCCCGCAGTTTTGTGGGAGGCGGGTGTGGGGGTAGGGACTCGGTCTTGGTACTGTATTCCCCATTTCCGTTCTTTAGGACGGCGGCCGCGGCGCCGATGGCTCCGGGCTGGCCGTTGCCTCTGCAGCTACTGTCAGTGTATATTTCCATAATGTAGACTATGTTGGCGTTGTGGGGTTGGAGTTGGATAGATGCAATGGGTTCGGTGGTGTGCACGAGTATGTATGCTGTTGAGGGTTCGCTGTCTGTGGAGTTTCAACGAGACGTCGTCTTTGGTGCCTCTCCTCACCTCTACTGTTGATATGATATGTCGCGGTTGAAATTTGTAGAAGGTGTGCTATAGCAAGGAGAGAGCTGGCAAAAAGTATCCTCTTGGAAGCTAAGTTACTGGAGGTGGTTAATAGAGCCTTGTCAAAGTCCCTTGCGATACAAGCAGCGTTTGGGGATCAAAGCGGGGCATGAGAAATGGAGAGTTCTTACAGCAGAGTAACAAATGATGATTCCCGCCCTGATTACCTTAGAGAACTTCGCAGTCAATCAAAATTTGCATCCATGCAAGGTTGCAAGGTGTACGTGGTGACTCGTCGTGTGCAACCCAAGGAACCTAAGATGCGTGGCAAACCAGTTATCGCACGTAGGGCTTATATAACTAGAAATGGGTACCGTGTCAAAGAAAAGATAACAATTCAAATTGACATGTAGTTGTTTGATATTCAAACTTGTGATATGATGAAGCGTCAGATAAGATGAAACGAAGGCCTTGATTCCACGATCCAGGTGATACTGAGGCTTCTTTATACTGCCTGGAGACAAAGAGATAAAGGCGGTACGTCTAGAACGCGGCCTGGCACTGTTGTCAACATGAAATCCGTAGTCATATCATAATAGCGATTATAGTAAGGGTGGGGGATGTTAATGTGGGTAGGATAATGCAGTCATATAGGGCTTCTACCTTGATTGCCTCTAAACGCTGATGCCTGATTCAGAACGGGTGATTGCAGAATCAAATAGGTCAGCAAACAAAAAAGACAGCGCAGAAGGCCTCTTTCAAACACGCCGGTGCAATGATACACAAACATGTAGGTAAAAAGTGGTACGGTACTGTCCCTGGCTGGTCTTTTTGACGAGATTCAGGCATAATGGTTTGGCCGAAACTTTGAATCGGAAAGCTTATCTATTGTATCTTATGGATGGTACCTAAGGATATGAATTGTTACTCGGCGAGACCTTCAGCATCCAGGATTTCAATAATCCTAGACATTGCTTGAAGGTCTCCCTCAAAGGATTCGGCCTTACTTATCAACCCATCCTTCCGTAATACCTCCTGGGGTTGAGCAACTTGTCACCTGATTTCTTTACTTGACTTGCCAGTACTTAAGTCCCTCCAAATGATCCTAAGTGACTTAGGGTATACTGCACCAATAGCCCCGAGAGAAACATTGCATAATCCAACTAGGCAGATCATCTTATATTGCTAGCATATCTCCTCCGTTATGAATGTATCCAAGGACGCCCCAACGCGTACAATAGGAAGAAGTGAAGGTTCACTCTCCAGATTAATGTCCAGGATCGCTGGACCGTCGGCCTCTAAAAGCCACTGGATGCTACTCTCCAGCTCTTCAAGAAGATGACATCGACGCGCCTCACAACCGAAACTCTCTGCTAGGGTCACAAAGTCTGGATTTTTCAGATGTGAAAATGCCACTCGACCGTTAAAATAAGTTTGCTGATACTGGGTCATCATTTTCTGTTCCCCATTGTTGAAAATAATGACCTTTATCTTCACATTGTACTGTGAGGCGGTTAAGAGCTCCTGCATTGTCATGCAGAACGACCCATCTCCATCTATATTGATTACTTGAGAATCTGGGCATCCTAGCTGCGCACCAATAGCTGCGGGGACCCCGAATCCCATTGTACCCAGGCCACCCGAGGTTATAAATGTCTTTGGAGATCGCCAGCGATAGCAGCGCGCTGCCCACATCTGGTGCTGGCCCACTCCAGTGCTCACTATTGTTCGTGTGGATGACAATTTGGCCTGTCGATCGATTTCTATCGGAATGTGGGAAGGTAGAACCTTCGTCATTAAGTCTGGTGACCTGGGTGGGAAGGGATACTGCGTCTTCCATGCTTGAATTTGTTCGATCCATGCACGGTGCTTGTTACCCTTCTGTAAATTTGAGATCAACAGTGGCAGAGTATCACTTAAGTCACCAAGCACGGCTTCTGTTACTCGAACAACCTTGTTGACGTTGTCGGGCTCGATATCAAATTGGATAATTCCACCCCGACTGCTCCGTTCGGCCTCGATAGCCTTCGGCGCAAACGATTCTGGGTCGCTTACCACGCGCTCATCTAGTCGAGCTCCCAAGGCTATTATAAGGTCTGCTTTCTGCACCGCATAATTGGCGTATACTGCTCCGTGCGTTCCAACCATGTGGAGGGCTTCAGGCTTAGTCTCATCGAAGCTTCCCAGGCCCAAAAGAGTGGTAGCAACAGGAATGTTTGCCGATTCCGACAATTTTGAAAGAAGCGAAGGACCTCTCGGACTATTCAATACTCCATGACCAGAAATAATCACTGGCTGTTCAGCGGTGTTGATCAGGTTGGCTACCCGCTGAATGGTACCTTGCAGCAGCGTAGAGTGACTAGGCTGCTGTGCCACTTTGTTTGCACTTGCTCGTATCCGCGAGATATCTTTCGACGCCTTCTCAAATGCTGCATTGTCAAAAATAGTAGAGCTCACATCGATAGGAATGGCAACAAGAACCGGTCCAGACCGTCCTCCCATGGCCTGCTGGAACGCCATCTCTAATGAAGAAGGAAGATCTTCGATCTTCTGCACAACGGTAAACCATTTCGTGCATGGCTTGGCGAGCGCTGGAATATCGATCTCTTGGAATGCACCAGTGCCTAGCACACCGGTCGCAACCTGCCCACAGATGACCACCATTGGATTCCCGTCAACCAACGCATCCAACATAGCGGTTACTAAATTGGACATCCCTGGACCAGATGTCACAAGCACTACTCCTGGGCGTCCTGTGGCTTGAGCGTAGCCATCTGCCATATGTCCTGCGCCTTGTTCATGACGAGCAAGGATAAACTGGACCTTGTCGCTTCCCAAGATTCCGTCGAGTAGTGTAAGCACAGCACCCCCTGGATAACCGACTGTATAGCAATCAGTACTGGGAACTGACAAGTATGTAGGGTTCTAAGCTCGTTGAGAACTTACAAACATGTTCAACGTTGTGATGGATCAATAAGTGGTGAAAGAAGTCTCCGCCCTTCATACCGACGAGTTCCTTGAGCGACATGTTGTAAAAGCCTATGTATGAGTATAACCAGCTCTCATTCAAACCCTTGCTGGACTATATATTCCTGGCAAGGTCTGGATCAGCTGTTGAGCAAGCCTGGGTACAATCCGTGGGTATTTGATGTTCACTTATACCATCTATAGCTGCGTTAGCTTCTCTGACATGCCATGTATAAGAGGCGAATTGCTATTAAAATGACAAGGAATGAAGTAATTGCTTCCCACATACCTTTATCTAATTCGACTAGGCATTTG